TCTTGCTTCAAGTGGCCGTTTTCCACACTGTTCCTTCAAGCTCACCTGCAGCATGATTTCAGTGTTTAGGGGGCTATGGCAATTTCAGATAATCTAGATAATTTGACAAAGGGACTTCTGATTCTCCTGAGGATAAAGCCCGGAGAGCCAGTTTGGTGTAATGGTTAGGAGCGCAAACTCTAATCTGGAGAACCGGGTTTGATTCCCGCCTCCTCCTCCACATGCAGCCTGCTGGGTGACCTTGGGTCAGTCACAGTCCTCAGGAGCAGTCCTCGAGAGAGCTCTCTCGGCCCAACCTACCTCACAGGGTGCCTGTTGTGGGGAGGGGAAGGGAAAGGAGTTTGTAAGCTGCTCTGAGACTCCGAGTGAAGGGTGCTATAAATCCAGTCTCTCCTTCTTGGTCTCTAAGATGCTACTGGATGCTCTACTGCAGACCAGCATGGCTACCCTCTGAAACGATCAGATAATCCAGTACCTGGAAGGAAGGAACGTGGCTGAAAGAGCCCACATGCCCTTTGGGGGTAGAAAGTGCTGTCAAGGCGCAGCCGACTTGCAAGTGATCCCTCGTGGGTGGTTTGCCTTTGCCTGCCTCTGCATGCAGAGCACAGGCCTCCTTGGTGGTCTCCCATCCATATACTGACCAGGGCTGGCCCTGCTGAGCTTCTGAGATCTGACGAGATCGGGCTAGCCAGCCGGGTCAGGGCATGTGCCCCTTAGAACACTACAAAATCAGCCCAAGGACAGTGCTCGAAATATAGCAATGAATCCATGCAACCTTTTTGAGCTAAATTCCAAGCAGTTTGCCATTTGTTTGTCTGTTTCCCCCACGTCAACCCAGTCTGACTCGTTGGTAGGCAGCCGATTGTGTGAATAGGTTCACACCATCTCAGGCTGTTCTGTACCCGTGAGAGTGCCTGTGTGCAAAAGGGTGAACCGGCCACTTCACTGCGCTCTGATTCAACCTGGGGAAACAGGGAGAGGCAGGTTTATAACAAGCATCCAAAGAGGGCCTTGAAAGCATTTGATCCTTGACAGGTCCAGGGCTAATCAGTTTCTGCATCTCCCAAGTATTGTTCCCACTCAACTGCAATCAGCATTTGCTTGGCCCAGCATGGGGCCAGTTCTGTGCCTCCTTTTGTTCCATGAAGGCATTCAAAGGATAAGCGGCAAACTTTCTCCTGACTTTTTAGGAGTCCGCCCACTCCCCATTTACAGCAGGTGAAGCAGCACAAAAAAATTAGCCAGGGTTCCGTCCAGTACGTGTGAGCGTCCCCCGCAGAGAAACCCCTTTCTGCATTTTGCAGCTTTGTACAGTTAAACTTTGCGGAATCAGAAGTGTAGCCGAGGCAGCTAAATTATCTATAAGTCTCAGCAGTCGTGATTCACCTCCTTGGAGAAAAGATAAGGCTGGAGTCTCTACAGCAGGCCGAAACCCCCGCACAAATCATCCTAACCTTTCTCTTCTCCTTAAACTTTCCTCTTCCTCCCACGTGGCTGCCGTGAAGCCCTAGATCATCGTGACAGACCGCATTCTCAGTGGCTGACCGTCTGTGGCATAATGAATTCTGTCTTCTTTGCCCTCCACAGCAGAGAGTTTGTTTTTCTTTCCCTCCCCCCTTCTCATGTCACTTCCCCCAGGCCTCGTATGTAAATCCCCACCACATGAATCCAACCTGACTGCAAACTTCTCCTGCTACTTTCCCAAAGGCCATTTCTCACGAGCTAGGAACTCGAAAAGGTCAAAAGTATTCAATTTACTTTGCCAAAGGAAGCATTTCCATCTGTCTTCAGAGGGACAGAGGGACCAAAGGGCACTCTATCACTCATACCATTAATGTGATGTGACCTTAAAATGCAGGCCTCCCTACCCATCAGACGGCTAAAGGGCCCTGACAGCCCTTCCACTTGCACGGTGGACAGGCAGAGATTTTCGTTTTGTTTTCGTCCATCCCTCAGATTCTTAAAACCACCCTTGACCTGTCATACCTAAACCGCAACGGGACATTCCCCCGGCTGCTCCTAAACCTTCCCGGCTCGAAACCTGACAGCCGTTTGGCTGGAGTCAGGCAGTTAAATGTCTCGCTGGGGAATTAAAGCTAAACTTTCTGCGCTCATCTCGGAGAACAACAGGTGCAGTGTCATGGGAAGGAAAAGACTGATCGCTGGCACTGTGCCCCACCCCGTCCAGACGCCAGAGACTGGTGTAAAATAGGGGCGAAGTCACGCAGCCACGCAGATGGATCTGTAGTCCCGGGGCTGGGTTAACTGGGGTGTTAATCGCTGTAAGGATAGCACGTCAGCCCAAGCAGAACCACCGGTGTTCTCTCCTGGAACACGGCCTCATGGGTTTCATCCGGTATCTGACAAAGGGAGCATTGACTCTCAGAAGTTTATACCACCACCACCACCCAAATCTTGTTGGTCTCTAAGGTGCTGCTGGACTCAAACCTAGCGGTCCTCCTGTGGACCAACATGGATGCCTTCTGAACCTTGTGCAGACATGTGTCTCCTTCCAGATTTGCCAGAAACTGTTTGAGATATTTGAGTTTGCGGGAAGGAAGAGTGGTGGGCTTCGAGA